AAAAAAAAAAAAAAAAAAAAAAAAAAAAATTACAAAAGTACAAAAAAAGCGAAAATACAAACGAATGAACAAAAAAAGCCAGGCGTGGTGGCACATGCCTGTAATCTCAGCTACTGAGGAGGCTGAGGCACAAGAATCATTTGAACCTGGGAGGCAGAGGTTGCACTGAGCCGAGATCGTGCCACTGCACTTCAGCCTGGGTTTCAGAGAGAAACTCTGTCTCAAAACAAAACAAAACAATCCAGAACACTGGAAACAAGCAAGCAAGGGACAAAGGAGAGATAGGATACATGGAAAAACAGAAAACAGAAAGGTGAGGCCAGTGCGGTGGCTCATGCCTGTAATCCCAGCACTTTGGGAGGCTGAGGCAGGTGGATCACGAGGTCAAGAGATCGAAACCATCCTGGCCAACATGGTGAAACCCCTTCTCTACTAAAAATACAAAAATTAGCCAGGCGTAGTGGCGGGCACCTGTAGTCCCAGCTACTCAAGAGGCTGAGGCAGGAGAATTGTGGTGAGCCTCTGGGAGGCAGAGATTGTGGTGAGCCACCGCACTCCAGCCTGGCAACAGAGTAAGACTTGGTCTCAAACAAAAAACAAAAAACAAGGTGGTAATCAACTATATTGATAATCACATTAAATATAAATGGTTTAAATACTCTAATTAAGAGTCAGAGATTGTCAGACTGTATAAAAAAACACCCATTCCCATTTTCTTTTTTTTTTGAGATGGATTTTCCCTCATTTCCCAGGCTGGAGTGCAATGGCACTATCTCAGCTCACCACAACCTCTGCCTCCTGGGTTCAAGCGATTCTCCTGCCTCAGCCTCCCAAGTAGCTGGGATTATAGGCATGTGCCACCACACCTGGCTAATTTTGTATTTTTAGTAGAGACGAGGTTTCTCCACGTTGGTCAGGCTGGTCTCCAACTCCCAACTTCAGGTGATCCACCTGACTCGGCCTCCCAAAGTTCTGGGATTACAGGCGTGAGCCACCGCTCCCAGCCATGAAATCCATTTTATTTAATTTTACTTTTTTGAGATGGAGTCTCACTCTGTCACCCAGGCGAGGGTGCAGCAGCTTGATCTTGGCTCACTGCAACCTCTGCCTCCCAGGTTCAAGTGATTCTCCTGCCTCAGCCTCCCAGTTTGCTGGGATTACAGGCATGCACCACCATGCCCTGCTAATTTTTGTATTTTTAGTAGAGACGAAGTTTCACCACGTTGGTCAGGCTGGTCTCCAACTGCTGACCTCACGATCCACCTGCCTCAACCTCCCAAGGTACTGGCATTACAGGTGTGAGCCACCGTGCCCTGTAATTTTTGTATTTTTAGTAGGGATGGTGTTTTGCTATGTTGACTAGGCTGGTCTTGAACTCCTGACAGGTGATCCACCTGCCTCAGCCTCCCAAAGAGCTAGGACTGGAAGCATGAGCCACTGCATCTGGCCAACTCTATTTCTTAATCCACTAAAAGGCCTTAATAATTATCCAAATACAGGCTGAGAGGGGCAAGTAGATATAACTGAACCAGGGACACAGCTTTGACCTTTGTGATTTCAGGTGGTTATCTCAGGTCCAGAGAGGCCAGGATGGAAACCCAGCTCAGAAAGGTCTGCCATGGGCAGAGCCCCTGCCCCGGGCACAGGTGCCCTCATCCTGTTCTAGCCATTTTCTGTTCTGGTCCAGGTCACAAAGCCACTTGTCCTTGGGCCAGCACAGACTGACTGCTGGAGGTGGGGATCACCCGACCCCAGCAGAGAGAATGGCCCGGACGCCTGCCCAGCCCTTATCACTCCCCAGCACTGCTGGGACTCCCGCTCTTCTGGACAGGTGAGGGTGGCTCCAGCCCATCCTGGCGTCAGCTGGCCTGGCTTCCCAGCCTGCACAGGACCAGCTTACCAGGCCCAGAACCTGTTGGAGGCCCCAGCCTGACCCCTGGGAGCCCGGTTGCCTTCCTCAACATCCAGCCCCAGGGGTGCCTTGGGGCCTCACCCATCGCCTATTCTCAGAACTAGCCGGCCTCCAGGCATCTGTCTGCTCTCAGTGTCCACTGTGGGACCCGGCCATCAAGTCCCACGGTGGCCAAGGGACACCGGTAGCTCCTCCTCCCGTCAGACCACCCCTTCTCACCACCCCCACCAAACCCTCAGGGCTTGAGGACGCACCTGGGGAGGCACTGGACTGCCCGGCCCCCCCTCCAGGGGTGGGGAGCATTTTTCTCCTGCACCTTTGACAAGCCACCTGGCCTGAAACAAACCCCGCCCTACCTCGGTGGAATCAGAGTCAGCTGCTATCCCCCCAGCCGAGGGCCAGCCCACCCATCGGAGGCCCGCCCTGGGTCAGGCAGCTCATCTCACCCAGGACACCCGAGCCCCAGCACGGGAGGCTGAAGGGGGAGGAAAGGGTCCCTCTCCTGGAAGTTTGCTGGAAACCCCGAGGGCGGGGGCGGCCTCCTTCAGCGGCCGCCACCCTCTGTGCAGGCTGCTCATCCTCAGGGACCCCCAGGAGTCCAGTCCCCCGGGCCAGCTGCGCTGAGGCGGAACGAGGCCCGACCCCACCCGTGGCCGGAAGGAGCCCTGCAGCGGGGTCCGCCCTGGGTGCCCACGCGCGAAGGTCTAATTCACACCGCCCTGCCCGTCACGCTGTGCAGGTGCAGAAGTGAGACCCCAGAAGGCGAGCGACCTGCCCACGGCCACACAACCGGCCTACGGCAGGGGGGAAGGCGGCGGCGGCGAGCCTCGGGCTCCGAGACCGCGCGCCCTGGGCGGGACAACGGCCAGAGCCACGGCTAGCGCCGGCCGCAACCTCCCCGCTGCGCGTCCAGCCCCGTCGCCTCAGGTCGCCGCCGCCGCGTTCTTTCCTTCCGGGGCCGCAAGACGCCGCTGAGCGCAGGGCACGCACGCGCGCAGGGGGCGGGGCGTCGGCCCGGGGGCGGGGCCAGACCGGCGCAGAGGGCGCACGGCGGCCCCGGCGGGCGGTGCGGAGGCGGGACGCCCAGAGGCCCCGCCCCCTCTGCCGGCGCGGCGCGGCCGAAGGCCGGCGTGGAGGCGGCGGCGGCTGACGGACGGGCTCGCGGCGGCGGCGGGGCGCGGGCGGCCAATGAGGGCGGCCGGAGGGGGCGGGGCGGCGGCCGGAGGGGGTGGGGCGGCGGCCGCGGTTTTGTTCCGCCGGGGCTGAGGCGCGTCGCCCTCGGTGGGGCCTGGGCGGTCGGCCCTCCTGCCGCTCTGCCGGCCCGCGGCCGCGCTCAGGTACCGAGCCCGGGCGGAGCGCGCCGCCCATGCCTCAGCGCGGCGGCTGCGAGTGTTTCCCGCGGCACGCGGAGGGCGCGGGGCCCTGCGCTCCGGGCCGGGTGCGTGGACGACCCCGCCGGGCCCGAGCCCCCGCCGTGCGCGCCCGGGTCCGGGCGACTTCCCCGCACGAGGCGAGGCCCGGCCTGGTGGCGGCGCGCCGTGGTTCGGTGTCGCGAGAGGCGGGCGTCGCAGCGGTAAACGGGGCCTTGGGGCGTCCCGAGAGGGACCCGGCCGCGGGAGGCCGGACGTGCCCGGAGACCCGAGGAGGGGACTTGGGCGGACTCCGAGGCCGCTTTTTCTGCGTGGCCTGGAGGGTGTGAGCGGCCTCGAGCCTCCGGTGTGCGGGGCGCCGGTGCCCGCCCGCACCCCGCACCCCGCGCCCACGCCCCGCGCCCCCGCCCCGCACCCCGCGCCCACGCCCCGCGCCCCCGCCCCGCACCCCGCGCCCCCGCCCCGCACCCCGCGCCCCGCTGCCGCCCGCTCTGGAGGGGCCTTTTCCTCGGTCGGAGCGCGGTCGCGGAGCCCCGGTTCCCGCGCAGCCCGTGAGTGGCCTCGTGAGTTTTCGCACGGCATCCTCGGTGCCTCTTGTTTGAAGCCGGGCTTCCATAACTTTAAAGCACTTCGTTTTAAACTCAAAGCGCACTCACCCTTGGCGCGCCCGTGAGGACCTCCCAGCACTGAGAACTTTTCACCCGGGATGCGTTTGCGGCCGGTGCCAGGGAGCGGGCTGCCTCCGTGGCTGCTGACCTCCGTTGCAGATCCAGCTCCCTGTTCCATCTTTCCCCCGTCGCTGCTACACTTGACTGGTCTCAGAAACAAAAACGAAAAGAATGTGCTTCCGTTTCACACGATTTCAGAAATTTAACCTGAACTTACTGATGCTGCTTTAAAGACCCTACTGTCGCCCGAGCGCATCCGTCATCAGAGTGGGTGCGAGAAGGGAGGTGCAGCCTTGCAGCCTGAAGGCAGGAGGCTGGGAACCGGTTTTGGTTCATTCGAAGCTCTTGAATGTTACCCCAGAGCGGAAATCGACATTGTTTGGAAACAGTGGCTTTTAATTAAATTGGGTTAGCGCAGGGAAACTAGGTGGTAGTTCTTCCAGACAGTTCTAGTCTCCCTGGCCCGCGCCATTGTCCCCCTCCTTGAGTCCTCTTTGTACGCTGGGCACCAAGCCTTCTGTGGCTTGATAGATGAGGCCCCGTGCTGTCCCTTGGCCTTGGAGCTCGGTTCTGCAGCTTTGTCCTTCTGCTGTGTTCTGTGTTGCCACTTTGAGGGTCGCCCTGGCCGAGACCGTGGTAATGGTTCAGCCCCTGTGGATGGATCCTTGCATTTCTTTGACTTAGGTTGGACTTGGGGTCCACAGAACGTGTCTCTTGCTACTTGAAGTGTGTAAGTGAGAATGCCAAAGTAATTTTTTCTTTGTTTTTAGCGGATGCATGGAGGCCTTTCTAGTTATGGAGGTACTTGCTCACATGCAGTGATGTGCACAGGAAGCAGAAGTAGGAAGAGGCTCTAATCTCAGAGAGGACACATTTTAGTGGGTAGATAAAAGAACGAAGCGAACAGGTATTTTTTCACCAGTGCACTGGGAACATTGAAAATGTTTTTTTAGCCGGGCGCGGTGGCTTGGGCCTATAATCCCAGCACTTTGGGAGGCTGAGGAGGGTGGATCACAGGGTCAGGAGTTTGAGACCAGCCTGGCCAGCATGGCGAAACCCTGTTTTTAGTACAAATAAAAAAGCCGAGTGTGGTGGCACATGTCTGTAATCCCAGCTACTTGGGAGGCTGAGGAAGTAGAATTGCTTGAATCCAGGAGGTGGAGGTTGCAGTGAGCCGAGATCACACCACTGCACTCCAGCCTGGGTGACAGGGTGAGATTCTGTCTCGAAAAGAAAGAAAATCCAGGTTTCATAGCTGGGTACGGTGGCGCACGCCTGTAGTCCCAGCTGCTCAGGGGGCTGTGGCAGGAGAATTGCTTGAACCTGGGAAGCGGAGGTTCCGGTGAGCGGAGATCGCGCCACTGCACTCCAGCCTGGGTAACAAGAGCAAAACTCCGTCTCAATAAAAAAAAAAAAAAAAAAGAAAATCCAGGTTTCTGTGTCTGTGTCCTGGGCCTCCCACAGGAGGCTTTTGGGGGTGTTCACCTTGATCGCTGGGTTACTTTGAGGCTGTGAGTGCAGTTTCTCGCCATGCGTTCTTCACACATCCAGCAGCATGGATGCATCTGGCCTGAGACTGTTGTGTTGGGGTGTTGGTCAGGTGGTGGTTTTAAAGCACTTTCCTCATTCCCTGTGTACCCACTAGTGGCTCCCCACTGCCCTGTGAGGAGGTGCTTTCCTGCCACGCCCACCTCACCTGGGTTCGTGGGTTCCTGGGTCCGTGGGTCCGTGGGGCCATGGGTTCCTGGGTTGCTGGGTCCCTGGGTCTGTGGGTTCTTGGGTCCCTGGGTTCGTGTGTTCCTGGGTCCCTGGGTCTGTGAGTTCTTGGGTCCTTGGGTTCCTGGGTCCATGGGTTCCTAAGGATGTGGGTTCCTGGGTCAGTGGGTCCATGGGTTCATGAGTTCCTGGGTTTGTGGGCTCCTGGATCTGTGGGATTTCCTGGGTTCCTGGGTCTGTGGGTTCCTGGGTCCGTGGGTTCCCGGGTTCCTGCGTTTGCAGCCACTCACTTTGCTCTGTGTTACCTGTAGGCTGCTGGGGAGCCATCCTCACTTCCTGTACCTTGACGGGTTCCAACTCTTTTCTTTTCCCCAGCCCTGAAATCAGTCCCTTTTACCATTTCTACACAGACTATGAGTGTGAGGCCTGTTTGTTTTTGACAGAGTCTTGCTCTGTTGCCAGGCTGGAGTGCAGTGGTGCGATCTCGGCTCACTGCAGCCTCCGCCTCCTGGGTTCAGGCAATTCTCCTGCCTCAGCCTCCTGAGTAGCTGGGATTACAGGCACGCGCCACCATGCCCAGCTATTTTTTTGTATTTTTAGTAGAGACGGGGTTTCACCATGTTGACCAGGATGGTCTCGATCTCTTGACCTCGTGATCCACCCGCCTCGGCCTCCCAAAGTGCTGGGATTACAGGCTTGAGCCACCGCGCCCGGCCAGTGAGGCCTATTTTTAAAATAAAATCTGAGTTCTTATTTTTTCAAGTTGTATTGTGGCTGCTGTCGACTTTCTAGGGTTATATGTGTGCTTTGTGTGACCAGGAGGTTTCAGAGGGCAGGTGAGCAAGCCCCTCGTGGTGCATGGTTGAAGGAAGCTGGCCCCTTTCCTTGCAGGAGTGGGTGGTGGGATTAGGGAGGGAGGCCAGCTTGTCAGCCATAGAGCCCCATCCTATGAGGGCTCTGAAGCTGGGACGGAGGTGAGTCTGGGCCCTGGCCGTGAGCTGGCACCCCAGTTGCTGTGGCTTTTCCCCAGCTGACATTGGGCCAGTATTGGGTATGCAGTGTGGCTGGCTCTGATCTGTGCTCCTTAGTTTGAGACAGTTTGAATGGAGCCCCTGCTGCGGAGAGACCTTCTGAGGCATCACAGTGGGCCCGGCTGGCCCTGGCCTGGCGCACAGCACCCCTCTTGGAGTCCAGGGTTCTTGGCTGTGGGCTGGAGGTGATGGTGGCTGCCAAGGGTGGTGGGAGTGGTCAGCGCTGAGCGTGCAATTTCAGATCCAGTGAGCCAGACAGGCACAGCCTTTAGCTGATGTGCTGTGTCCCTTGGCTGGGAGCAGCCCCATGGGTGGTGGCGCCTGTCAGGACCTGTGCCTGGGTTTGATCGCCCAGTCCTCTGGGCCTGGCAGCCTCAGGGCTGTACCTGCTGACGGGAAGGCCTCGAGCCAGGCCAGGTGGCCCGCTGTGCATGTAGCTGTTGTGTTGGTGGTGGCGCCTTTTCCCTGCCCCTTGTTCAGGAAGATGCTGGCTTTTGGGTTCTGGGGAGATGCCTGTTGGTTCCTGTTGAGAGCAGGTGTATATGTACATTTTAAGCATGGAATGCGGGTATTAACCGTGTTGAAACCTTGTCAGCACTGGCAGAAATGTGCCTGTGAGTCTCCTCTGGCCTCTTACTTTACTGGCCGGTGCCATGAACTTGGATGCTGCCTGCCTTCCTAGTGTGGCTTTCATGGCTGGGCAGTCCTTCTGATGGGATGGCTCATGTGGCTCCCACATGGCAGGCTTTTGGGGCAGATGCTCGTGAGTGGTGCTGCCACGAGCACCTCACCTGGGTTTGAGGAACGAAGCAAACAGATATTTTTCACCAGTGTACTGGGAATGTTGAAAATGTTTTTTAGCCAGGCGCGGTGGCTCTGGCCTATAATCCCAGCAATTTGGGAGGCTGAGGAGGGCGGATCACAGGGTCAGGAGTTTGAGACCAGCCTGGCCAGCAGGGTTGCCTTTGTTGGTGGAGGTACAGCCTAGGCTTTGGCGTCCTTGCCGAGGGCAGCCCGTGGGCCCCAGGAGACGGGCTGGAAGCCAGAGCCAGGCAGCAGCTGAGGAAGAACACCCTGGAGGTTGTGTGCAGGTGCCGTCACTGCTGTCTTCACTACCAGGCACTTTTCTTTTTCTCTGGAGTTCCTTTTTTTTTTTTGAGATGGAGTTTCGCTCTCGTTACCCAGGCTGGAGTGCAATGGCGCGATATCTCGGCTCACCGCAACCTCCGCCTCCTGGGTTCAGGCAATTCTCCTGCCTCAGCTTCCTGAGTAGCCGGGATTACAGGCACGCGCCACCATGCCCAGCTAATTTTTTGTATTTTTAGTAGAGACGGGGTTTCACCGTGTTGACCGGGATGGTCTTGATCTCTTGACCTCGTGATCCACCCGCCTCGGCCTCCCAAAGTGCTGGGATTACAGGCTTGAGCCACCGCGCCCGGCCTGGAGTTCCTTTTTAAGGGTGTCCTGGTCTTCACGGAGGTGCACTGTCACTCTGAGTGCAGAGGCTGCTGCCAGAGAAGGTCTCCCCTTCCCCCTGGTGCTCTCGTCCATCTTGCTGGTTTTGCCTGGTTGCCCCCGCTCGTCTGTTTTGGCCTCTGTTGGGTCTGAACTAGGTGGCCTTGGCAGCTGTCACACCCAACAGTGGGACCCTGAGAAGGGTCGAAGCTGGGGCAGGTGGGGACACGCTAGGCACAGGGCCACCTTGCTGGGTGCCTTGGCCAGTTAGTGTCTGTTGGGAGCAGCCCCAGGGCTGCCCTGCAGCCTCTGCCTGCAGTATAGTTGGGGCTGCCCATGCCTGGGGCTGGAGCGCTCAGGGCCTGAAAGACCCCGAGTCCTTGCTCTTCCTCAGCCGGCCCCTTGCTGTCAGTAGGCCGGGTGCAGACCCTGGCAGGCTCCCTGTGCCCCAGCTTCATTGCAGAGCGCTTGCCCAGCTGGCTGGTGTGGGGGTGGGGGTGGTGTTTGGCCACTTGGAGCAGAAGGGGGTGGGTAGTCAGGGTTTCTGCATTCCTGGCTTGATATTGGCTTTCTAGCAGCTTCCCAGCTTCCAGATGTCCTTGCCATTGTCTCCCGTCCTGTTTTCTCTTTTGGAGCAGGGGCCTGGGGTGGCCTTTTTTCAGTGGAGGCTTCCGGAGGGTGGGTCTAACATGCCTTTGCCTTTAACCAGAAGACCACTGTGATTAGATTTTCCAGAACAGAACTCGCATGGTAGTTTTGAAAATGGGAGGGAGGGTGTGAGGCGGGATTTCAGAAATACTTTATACACCGGGACTCGGCACGTAACAGCGACATCAAGGAAATGGTTTTGCGTGATTTCTCTCTTTTGAGAAACAGACACAAATCCTGAAGAGCCTGTGGGTGTGGACCGTTCATCAGTAAAGTGGAGACATGACCTTGAGATTTGGTTCAGACCTAGCAATGCCGGGGCCTTCTCAAGTCTGATGTTCCAGGACTTCAGTGCCTGTTGGTGTGAACGGAGGACACAGGGCTCCGACCATGGTCACACTCATCACGGAGAAGCTGCAGAGCCAGAGCCTGGATGACCTCACCTGTAAGGCCGAGGCTGGCCCGGTAAGCAGCTGTGGGTGGCTTGAGGCTGGGTGCTGCTCCCCCATGCTGTCACAGGGGAATGGCCACACTGGGAGGTGGAGGCCAGGGCTAAGTTCTCAGGGGCTTGGGGGCTCTGCTGGCCACGGATGGGGGTGTCTGGTACACATGTGGGCCCCAGAGCCCCAAGTGCAGGTGTGCCTGTTACCATCCAGTCAAGCAGCAGCACGCATCCCCAACGGACTCCCTGTCCCTTCCCTCCTAGCCCCCCTGCCAAGGGAGCCTCTGTTTTGGATTTCATCACCAGGTTAGCTTCTTTGGGTTTGGAATTCCTACAGGTGGGTTGATTTTCCTGCAGCCGTGGTGAATGGACTTCGGATGTGGCACCTGCAGGGCTCCCCGCCCTGGTTAGACGGCGGATGCAGAAGGAGATGGCTGATGTCTAGCCTGGAGGGTCTTGCCAGGGCCTCAGAGCCAGCAGGGGTTCTTGGAGTGCCTGCCTGTCCTGGGCCTGGCTTCGGTGTGGCTCTGGAGGCATGGGCATGCTGCATTTGTAACCTCTTGCAAGTTATGGAAATGAGAGGGCAATGGGAAAGCTGTGAAGTCTCAGGCCTCTGGACTGGGTTCGTGTGACCCGTCTTCACCTCAGGGGGTTCCAGTGAGAGTCTGAGGGTCCAAGCTGAAGCCACTGCTCCTGAGAGCGGGCGAGTGTGGATGTTGGGCTGTGGGAGGTGGCATGTGCCCCGAACCTTTGCAGGCACTGCTTGTGGGGCCTGGTGCTCAGGGCCACTGTGACCGAGGTGACTGTCGCAGTGCTGGCTGTGTCCTGCAGTCAGTACCTTTCCAGCTGTCAGGCCACGTGTGGGAGGTGGCTGAGGCGGGGAAGGTAGTGCTTGCCTGGTGTCTCAGAGACTTGCTGGCTGCAAAGCTGTGTTCTTTCCAGATATCGTGGCTGGTTCCCATCTTTTCTTTTTTCTTTTTCTTTTTTTTTCTGGAAACAGAGTCCTGCTCTGTTGTCCACATTGGACTGTAGTTGCACCATCTCAGCTCACTGTAACCTCCGCCTCGTGGGTTCAAGTGATTCTCGTGCCTCGGCCTCCTGAGTAGCTGGAATTATAGGTACCCACCACACCTGGCTAAATTTTTGCATTTATTTATTTAGTTTTGGAGATGGAGTCTTGCTCTGTCACCCAGGATGGAGTGCAATTGTGTGATCTCGGCTTACTGCAACCTCCGCCTCCCGGGTTCAAGTGATTCTCCTGCCTCAGCCTCCTGAGTAGCTGGGATTACAGGCACTTATTTTTGTATTTTTAGTAGAGATAGGGTTTCATGATGTTGGTCAGGCTGGTCTTGAATTCTCGACTTCGTGATCTGCCTGCTTTGGCCTCCCAAAGTGCTGGGATTACAGGTGTGAGCCACTGCGCCCTGCGTAAATTTTGTATTTTTAGTAGAGGTGGGATTTCTCCATATTGGCCAGGCTGGTCGTGAGCTCCTGGCTTTCAGTGATCCGCCCGCCTTGGCCTCCCAAAGTGTTGGGATTACAGGTGTGAGACACTGCACTCGGCCCCATTTTTTCTTTTATGATTAAATGGAGAAAACTATTTATTTATTTATTTATTTAGAGACAGAGTCCACTCTGTCACCGACGCTGGAGTGCAGTGGCACAATCTCAGCTCACTGCACCCTCTGCCTCCTGGGTTCAAGTGATTCTCTTGCCTCAACCTCCCCAGTAACTGGGACTATAGGCACCCACCACTACACCTGGCTAATTGAGAAAACATTTTTAGGGCCAGGTGCGGCGGCTCATGCCTGTAATCCCAGCTACTTGGGAGGCTGAGGCAGGAGAATCACTTGAACCTGAGAGGCAGAGGTTGCAGTGAGCCGAGATCGTGTCATTACACTCCATCCTTGGCAACAAGAGGGAAACTCAGTCTCAAAAAAAAAAAAAAAGAGAAAACATTTTTAAGGAGTCTGTAACCAAGACCAAAGCAGCACATGTCTATCAGATGGCTGCGTGCCTCTGAGGACATTTTTGGGAAGTGGACGTCAGCCAGGGTGTGGGCGGCTTTCCAGGGAGGTGGCTGCGCAGCATGCCTGCTGGGCCTGGGAGGTGTCTGCACAGATGTCCTGGTGTGGGGTGACCCACAGACCTCCACGTCCTCTGCGCTTTAGGTGACCGCTCTTCACCTCTCTTTTTTTTTAGCTTTTATTTTAGATATGGAGGTACAGGTGCAGATTTGTCACTTGGGTGTACTGCTCTTGGCTTGTGAGCAGTCCTTAGTAGGTAGCTCTTCAGCCTTTGCCTCCTCCCTGTCTCCCATTCTTCATCCCTTTATGGAGCATTTGTCCACTGACCGAAGGCAGCATGGGCAGCTCCTTGGTCAGCCTTGGCCTTAGGACAGGAGCCTGGGACTCCTGCAGGGTGAGTGGTCATGAGGGTCCCGTCACAGCCTGCTTCTGCTCCTGCTGACTCGGCTGGCTCTGTTAGTGGTCGTGGCGGCAGTGCCCTTGTTAATGGAATTAAGTGCCCTTAAGAAAGAGGCCCCAGAGAGGAAGCCAGCCCCTTCGACCATGCATAGATACAAGGGGAAGGGCCATCTGTGAACCAGGAGATGGCTTTACCAGACGCTGAATCTGCCAGTCCCTTGACTTGGACTTCCTGCCTCCAGGACTGTGAGGAATAAGTGTTTTTGGTAAGTCCCCGCCTGAGCCTGTGGGACCTGGCTGTCCGGCCTGTCCTGGCTCCCGGGGACCCCGGCTCTGTTTGCCTGCTATACCCGTGTCCCCCATGGCCAGCACCACTGGGAGTAGCTGCTGCCCCTGGTGTGTCTTTGCACAGAGGTGGTCACATTGGGGTAACTGAGAGGTTCTGAGCCACCGTGCAGGCCTGTGGCTCCTTCGAGCTGCCTGTGGGGGCCGTCTTGCCTGAAGAGAAGGTCCTTTCCTTGCTGGATGTTTGTCCCCGGCTGGAAAGTCCTTTCCTTGCTGGGCGTTTGTCCCTGTCTGGGAAGGTTCTTTCCTTGCTGGACGTCTCTCCGCGGCAGTATGGGGCTGGGTGCTGTTCATGTGGCCCTGGGGGAGGGCTGCTGTGTGGAGCAGGAAGAGAGTGAGGTCATGGTGCTTGCTAGGGGAGGCCCAGGCCTGGGAGGATCTACAGCAACAAGGGTCTGTGGCGTGAATCTCTAGCAGAGCCACCTCTCCTCATTTCCCCAGGGTGGGTGAACCTGGAGGTCATCTGGTTCCCGTGGTGTGGCCAGGCGTTCACAGCTCCACACCACCGTGCTGGCTGAGGTGGGACCCCATGTGTAGGCAGCCTGTCTGTGGATGGGTGTCTTTTTTTGGGGTTACAGACCCAACTTTCATTCCCTTTATGGGAAGCAATGAAGGATTTCCTTTTAATTTTATCATGTTTGGAAATGTTATCACAGGGGGCAATGCTGGGGACTTAGGTGGTAACTGAGAGGTTCTGAGGTGTGGCAGAGAAGCAGAGGGGCTGCTGTGCCCAGACCCTGCAGGACAGCCATGTCCTCTGCACAGGTGGCCTTCCATATTCTCACAGACCAGGAGGCTCTGGGAGGTTAGGGAGCTTGCTGGGGGCCCATCAGGACCCCCTCCTGTGCCCCATCCTTTGCAGGGCCCTGCGCCCTGCCTGCATGGGAGAGTGTGTGAAAGCAGACACAGAGTGGGCTCCAAGCCATGACTTGCCAAGCAACTCCCTGGCACTGCATGGGGCAGGGAAGGGAGCCCTGTGGTGTTTCCCTTATTGCCTCCCTGCAGACCCTCAAGCTCCCACCATGCCCAGTGGCTTTCCTGCTTTGAGGGAGGAGATCCTGCCCTCTGGACATCCCCCAGACCAGTGCCACACTACAGAGCCTGGCTGAGGGGCTCCTGTCCTGTGTCTAAGCTGTTGCAAGTGGGAAGGGTTGCTTGGGTCTTGGCTGAAGCGCTTGCTGAAAAGTAAGTCGGTGAGGTTTGCAAAGACGGCTGCCACAAGGACCGCCCAACGGCAGGAGTGCCTGAGCTTCAGGAGCAGCCACAGGACGCATGCCTGTGACTTGGAATAAAAACGTCCGTTTAGTGTTAGAGCACTTTTATAAAGAAAAAAAGTTAAAAAATATCCATTTACACAGTTGAATTTTGTTAGGTCTTAATAAAACTGTGCTTTTTATTTTATTTTTTGAGATGGAGTTTCACTCTTATTGCCCAGGCTGGAGTTCAATGGCCTGATACTGGCTCACTGCAACTTCCACCTCCCAGGTTCAAGCAGTTCTCCTGCCCCAGCCTCCCAAGTAGCTGGGATTACAGGCACATGACACCATGCCCAGCTAATTTTGTATTTTTAGTAGAGACAGGGTTTCTCCATGTTGGTCAGGCTGGTCTCGAACTCCTGACTTCAGGTGATCCACCCACCTCAGCCTCCCAAAGTGCTGGAATTACAGGCATGAGCCACCATGACTAGCGCATTTTATTTTAATAACTAGAAAGAAAACGTGGGGAAAATAGAACGTGCTGCAGTGATGAGAACGCAGGGATGTTATTGCTGAATTCTCACATGTCAGTAGCAGTATTGAAACGTCTCTTCTCCGTCACTTTCAGTATTCTGCTGAAACCCTGAGCAAGAGTGGTCGTCTCTTTCCTTTGGAGCTCCATGGTGAGTGTTTTAGGAGCTGTGGCCGGAGGCCTGAGCAGGGTTGAGCCAGGCTCCTGGGCTGGGAGGGTCCTGGACGCAGAACATGAGCCTGATCTTCAGAAGCCAAGGAAAGCATTCACGTGCCCTACACTGGGGCATGGATGGTGCCTGCTGCCGCCCTCCCACGGCTAGGCCAGTGGTCAGGAGTAGTCTGTGAGCAGGACAGCCTGTATAGGGTGCGAGCCCAGCCAGGCCTCTCCCTCCTCAGCTGGTGGGGCCCAGGGGCCTGCTACGCCCTTGCTGGAAGGTGCAAGGCCCACCCTGTGGCCACTAAAAGAATAAGACAGTGTGGCTGGCACGGCATCAGTGTTAGCTGGGGGGTGCTGTGGCACACTGGGCGGCACACCTGCTGTCCATACCATGGGGGACGTGGCTGTGCCTGGCTCACCTGCAGGTGGGGCTTTCATTGATGGAGAGCAGGTACCCGGAGTGTGGGGGCTGGTGTTCACTATCTGGGTAACTGTGGGGTCCTAGCTCCTTCTCCAGCAAAGGTTCTGGGGCCTCACCCTCTGTTGGCCCTGTTCATCCAGGTTGTGACAGTGCCCAGTGCCCTCTGTCACCTAGAGCGGGCCTTTGCAGGGATCCGTTAGGAGGCTCACCTTGCTGAGTGCCGTATTACCAAAGTGAAGGTGTTTTACCAGACTCTTTGATGAATAGATGGGAGTAGGAGGTGTGAGGCCCTAACTGGCCTGAGCCCCACCCCCTGCCCGGCCTGTGCTGTGATGTCCTCACCTCAGCCTCCTGGGGTTCATCCTGCACACAAGGCCAGACCAGCCACCTTCATCCTGGCTCAGAGCCCCGCAGGGCTTCCCACACACCTCACCTGGGCGCTCTCCCCGCCTCCACCTCTCTGCCTCCTCCCCACAACTCCCATAGCTCCCCTTGCCACCCCAGGGTCACCCCAGGGCCTTTCCCCAAAGGCGGGTCTTACAGCCTCCACTCCAGGTTCCTTAGCTGGATGGCAACTGCACAAACCAGTGGGGGTGTCCTAGGGGTCCACAAGCCCCTGCCCAGGCCGACTCCATGCCAGGCCCACGCACCTGGCCTTGCTCTCAAGGCTTCTCCCAACCAGCAGTGATGGGATGAGCAGGCAGTGGCAGCGGGGCTGGGGAGCACATCAGGCGGGCGGCCCCGGGACAGCTGTGGGGGATGTGAGGCTGAGGAGGGGCTTGAGTCCTGGGCCTGGTGGCTCTGAGGTTTGCGAGGAGTTTCTGGGGCTCAGATTCCCTGGAGACCCTGGCCACAGGTGGGACCCTCTGTTGCCCATGGGACCTGAGCTGCTTTAAGAAGAGGCTCTGGGGGGTCCTGGCCGGGGAAGCCCACACTCGTGAGATGCGTGGCCGCAGAGGGAGGGAAGTGTTTTGAAAATGTAGGAAGAAAGTTTTAGCAAAGCGGTTGGGAGAGCAGAGCCTCGTGATTGTTTTCAGGGAGGCACTGGCCAGGAGGCTGACACCTCTTTCAGACACAGCATCCCCTTAAAAAGTGAGCCAAGTCCCGCAGCCAACCTGGTGAGGGCAGGTGGGGCTGATGCCCACTTTGCGCCATGGACATCTCTGAGAAGCATGCCTGGGGTGATGGCAATGGCTGTACCCTTGACGGCTCTGCTGGGCAGTTTGCCAGGATGGCTGTTGCCCCATGCAGTGGGAAGAGGCTGGGCCTGCCCTGTGGCTCACCTTTCTCTTCCCCTGCCTCTTTGTGTCTTTTCTGTAGACCAGAGTCCCTGGAAGGTCTTAGGTGGAGGACGGCCTGTCGGGAGCCAGGCAGCCGTGGGCCCTGATTTCTCCTTCCTGCCGGGCCTGTCTGCTGCGCACACCATGGGTCTCCAGTGGCGGCCAGAGTCCCCGGGCCTAGGTGCGGGCCTGGGTGCAGTCAGCACCGTAGACCCCAGTGAAGGCACAGGGCCGTCCACGGCGCCGCCCACCAAGCGTCATTGCCGGTCCCTGTCAGAACCTGAGGAGCTGGTGCGCTGCCGGTCCCCCTGGCGCCCCGGTGGCTCCAAGGTCTGGACTCCAGTCTCCAAGAGGCGGTGCAACAGTGGTGGGAGCGCCACGCTGCAGGGAAGCCCGGGTGCCGTTCTGCTGAGGAGTACCCTGTGGTTGGCCAGCCCCACCTTATCTGCCACGCCCCGGCCGTCGTCTGCCAGCAGCGGCTTCGTGGACAGCAGCGAGGGCAGTGTAGGCTCAGGTCCACCTTGGTGTTCCACAGAGCCCTGCTTGCTCTCCGTGAGGCGCCGCCTGTCCCTCTCACAGGAGCAACTCGCAGGCGCGGGCACCCCCCTGCCCTCGGCCAGCAGCAGCCCCACGTCCACCCCTGAGCTGGGCCGGCCCCGCGGGCTGCTCCGCTGCCGCTCACAGCCATGTGTGCTCAGTGGGAAGAGGAGCCGGCGCAAACGGAGGCGCGAGGAGGACGCTAGGTGGACGCGCCCATCTTTGGACTTCCTGAAAATGACACGGGTGAGACTTTCTTGTTTCTGAGGGCTCAGGGAGGGCAGGTCTGAACGACAGTGCTGGGGTAAGGCTGGCCGATTCCCTGGGATGTGGCTGCTACCATCTGGCTGGCCTCCTCTGGACTGGGAAGAAAGGAGTGAGGAGAGCCGTTCAGAGTGGGTTGGAGTGATCAGAGCACCCAGGTCGTCCCACCTGTCCCTCAGAGGCAGAGCCCCACACAGGCCCAGGGTGGCCCGTTAGGCTCGTGGGGTGTGGCCTGGGGGAAGCAGCAGGAGCAGATCTGTGCGTTTCTGGCCTAGCTGAGCCACCTACCTCAGCTGCTGGGGAGCCCCCCAGCTTTTTCTGGGGTGATGTCTCAGGAAGTGAGAGGCTATCCTGGGAGCCCCATTCGAGGCAGAGCCTGGGGTCCTCTCTTGTGAGAGGCAGTGGGTGCCCATGCTGCAGCTCAGAGCCCAGCAGCGCCTGTGCACCTCGGAACTCCACAGGCACCTCCTGCAGAAACTGTCAGGATGTGTGAGAGAGCCTGCACCCACCTGAAGATTCTCAGTGCCGCCCACCTGCCCACACCCACCCCCATCACAGGCCGTGCTTGGCACAGAGTTCAGGAAGGAGATAGGACTGAGGAGGTGTCCCGAGGTCTTGCTCTGTGTTACTAAGGGGGTGTGTTCACCTCCGTGTGCTCAGAGACCTCTGGGACCCTGGCAGCGCTCAGGGAGCTTTGGGCAGGAATTAACAGGACTTTTTGATGCCAACTCTTGAGTGCAAACCAGGCCTGAATGGGGCTGTGGCTGAGGTGGGACGGGATCAGTGTCAGTCTCTCTCTTCAGTAACCTGTGGCCTTGGCAGCCCCCGACCTCTTGCCCCCAGGCCCATCCTCCGGGCCACAGGCCTGCCCATGCCCTCCCTCTGAGGGCCATGGATGTGGTGGAGCTGTGCACAGGGTGTGAGTGGGGCATCTGTCCCTCAGATGTGTGCTGTGCAGTTTTACTCTGGTGGGCTGGGCCTGGGCATCCTGTGGGGACTGGAGAAGGGGCACAGATGACCCAGGTCCTCCTCAACCTGGCTACAGCTTAGAGAGAACAGTGTGGCTGGCATGCCGGGGGGATTCCCAGGGTCCTCCAGGACGCTGGTGCTTGGTCACGCCAAGGGCGCCATGAGCATGGCCTTTTCTGATCAGTGGATTCTCCAGATGATTCTTCCTGGGGGCTTGAGGTGAGTTGAAAACCCAGACTTCCCTGCTATGAAACTTTTCTGCAGAGAGCAGGGTTTAGAGAAGAAGCCTCTCATCTTTTGCTATGAGATGGGCTGACCTGGGGAAGCCAGCACATGCTGGAAAGCTGGTGGTGAGCTTTGGACACACCAGGCTGTTCCTGCTTGCCAGGGCTTTGGGTGTGCACGGCAAGGGTGTCAGGACCTGTTGGGATCAGGAGGGACAGGAGCAGAGGAGGGAGCTGCAGGCTCTGCATGTTGCTGGGTGGGGAAGGGATGGTGCCAGGGGCTATTGATGACCGGACAACATCAGCACGCCCTCGAGACAACCCTAGGTTTCTCAGTTGCCCTGGGGGGCAGACTGACCAAGGGGGTGGGTGAGTGGTGATCGAGGACCCTTGGGAGAAGCTGCATGGGGCTCAATCTGGAGATGGGGTACCCCCGGCAGAGTATGAGGTGTGGGTAGAGGCAAGGACTCTCCAGACCCAGGACCAGGGCTTGTGGGCATCCGGGGTATGTGGTGTGTGGGGGAGACAGATGAGAGGAGGTCAGGGCTGCCATCCAATGCCGTGTGGTGTGTGGTGTGTGTGTATGTGTGTGGGCACATGTGGTGTATGCTCTGGGTGTGGTATGTGCTGTGGTGTGTATGATGTGTATGTGTGTCGTATGTGTGTGTGGTATGTATGTGGGGTATCGTGTGCGTGTGGTGTGGGGCATCTGTGATGTGTGTGTGTGGTATGTGATATGTGGTGTGTATGTGGTAGATGTGATGTGTGGTGTGTGTGACATCTATGTGTGGTGTGTGGTATGTGGTCTGTGTGGTAGTGTGTGGTATGTGTGATGTATGGTATGTGGTGTGTGTGTGGTGTGTGTGGAGTGGGTGGTGTGTGTGATGTGTGATCTGTGTGTGGTGTAGTCTGTGTATAGTTGTGTGGTGTGTGTGTGTGGCGTATATGTGACGTGTGTGATGTGTGATCTCTGTAGTGTGTGTGTCTGGTACATAGGTGAGTGCTGGTTTCTCTCTGGGAGGAGAAACCCCTGCTGTGCGGGAACTGGAGCCTTGACCCCAGGACTGGGGCTGCGCGGGGCATCCATCCGTCAGATCCCCATAGCCCCAGCTTTGGGCCCCTTGCTGAGCTGGCCTGTCCCTGTCCACATGAGCACTGACCGCCCAGGCTGCTGTCCCGTCCCCTCGGTGTTTCTCTGATTGAGTCCTCCTTCCTCTTGACCCCGGTTCTTCTGCCCCAGGCCTTCACACCCTCCTTGGCTACTGAGACATCATCCTAGTGGCTTTGTTGCCTCTAATTTGTCACCCTCAATCTTTTTTTTGAGATGGAATTTCATTCTTTTTGCCCAGGCTGGAATTCAACTGTACAGTCTCGGCTCACTACAACTTCTGCCTCCCGGATTCAAGCGATTCTCCTCCCTCAGCCTCTCGAGTAGTTGAGATTGCAGGTGCTCGCCACTATCCCAGCTAATTTTTATATTTTTATTAGAGATGGGGTTTCATCATGTTGTCCAGTCTGCTCTTGAACTCCTGGCCTCAGGCGGTCCACCTGCTTTGGCCTCCTGAGGTGCGGGGTTACAGGTGTGAGCCCCCGGGCCCGGCCCACCCTCAGTCTTGATACCACTGGCAGAGTGAACTCTCTGCAATGAGCGCTGTCCTAGTCCTCTCCTCGGACAAGCAAACCTGAGACCAGGCAGGCTTAAAACTCCACGTCTGTGTTAAAAACAAAACCAGACCGGACGGGCACAGTGGCTCACACCTGTAATCCCAGCACTTTGGGAGGCCGAGACGGGCAGGTCACTTGAGGTCAGAAGTTGGAGACCAGCCTGGCCAACATGGTGAAACCCTGTCTCTACAAAAATACAAAAATTAGCTGGACGTGGTGGTGTGCGCCTGTAGTCCCAGCCACGTGGGACTTGGCAGGAGAATCGCTTGAACCTCGAAGTTGGAGGTTGCAGTGAGCTGAGATCACGTCACTGCATTCCAGCCTGGATGACAGCAAGACTGTGTCTCAAAACAAAAAGAAAAACAAAACAAGAAGCCAAAACCCAAACCATGCCCATGCTGCCTCACGGTCAAACGCCGGGCCTGTGTCGCCTCAGGGTCAAACACCGGCCCGTGCCGCCTCATGGTCAAACGCTGGGCCCGTGTCGCCTCAGGGATCTGGGAGGCCAGTGGGGAGGCTCTGCTAAGGCCTCCCTGGGACTGCAGTCAGCCAAACTGGTTACCTGGAGGCTTGACCAGGGCTGCAGGACCTGCTGAAAATCTTTTTTTTTTGGAGACAGAGTTTCGCTCTTTTTGCCCAGGTTGGGCAAGTTCACCCACGTGGCTTTTGGCAGGAGGCCTTAGTTCTTTGCCACGTGGACCTCTCTGAGGGGCAGCCTGAGCGTGTTCACAATGTGGCAGCTGGATTTCCCATAGTGCGTGACCCCAGTGGGCTCGAGTGGGTCCCACAGAGCCCTGTGTGACCTGATCCTTACCAGCCGAGGTTTTGTCTGGTCCTTGACTCTGCCCAGCCCCTACTCAGTGGGAGGAGGATCGGGCTTCACTTTTTGAAGGGAGTGATTTCAAAACCTCTCTTCTCCGTAAGGAGTGCGGTCAGGAACAGTGCTTGTGGAAGGGTGGTGTTGTTAATGTTGGCTCTCGTGTCTCCCCGGCGCTTGTGCTAGAGTTTGGTTGGTCACAGACAGGTGGCGTGCTTACAGAGCGGAGAGGCGGGTACAGAGGGCCAGGCGGAGGTGTGGTGTTACACGGTAAGCGTGGGTACACATTCGTTAACAGTGACTTTGTGTGTGTGTGCAAAATCACTAGAGTTTGGTATTTTAAGGAAGGCCCTGATGTCTCGTGATTGGGAGTCAGTGCGCTGCCCTGTGAGGGCGGAAACTCCCGTTTTCTGCTCGTTGTTGGTGATGTGCACACAGCTGTTTTCTTTTTGCTTGCGCTCTTGTTCTCTCTCTCTCTCTCTCTTGCTCTCTTTCATGGAGTTTTGCTCTTGTCACCCAGGCTGGAGTGCAGTGGTGTGATCTCGGCTCACAGCAACCTCTGCCTCCCAGGTTCCAGAGATTCTCCTGCCTCAGCCTCCCAAGTGGCTGGGATTATAGGCGCCCACCACCATGACTGGCTAATTTTTGTATTTTTAGTAGAGATGGGGTTTCACTGTATTGGCCAGCCTGGTCTCCAACTCTTGGCCTCGGGTGATCCACCCGCCTCTGCTTCCCAAAGTGCTGGGATTACAGGTGTGAGCCGCCTCGCCCAGCTTGTCCCGTTTTCTTTAGTGACTTTCTTAATGAGCTAGAGCAGTGTGGGTGCTGCATACCCCACTCCGCTCCCGGGACTCAGCTCCACATGAAATCAGAGCTTTTCGTTTATTTGCTTCATGGAGTGCTGGGTGATACCTGCTCGCCCTGCAGTGTGCCCTGCCTTAAATTTAGCCGCTTCCTTCTGCTTGCCCATGAGTGTTGTCAATGTGACAGTACTCATCACTTTCTGGTAAAAAGCAGGCTTATGGGGCAGGGGGCCTCGTCAAATGTCAGCAAAGCCCGTGAAGAGACAGGCAGTATCTTCAGGGGCCACGTCTGCAAACGCAGAGCCCTGCGGGCTTCGGCTGCGGAGGACCACTCCAGGAATCCCAAGGGCCCAGGGCTGCCTGTTTGTCCCTCATTTCAGCTCTTCGCTTATCCCACTTGAAAATGGGCCCCCACCTTTTTCCATGTTCCTCATCTGCCACCTATGCACCCCTCTCCCTGTCAGCCAATCAGTCTTCACCCACCCCTGCCTGTCCCCGGCTTGA